AATTGGCCCATAATTGAGTTAGCCTAATTCCAACCCAATTATGTGCTAACTACAAATTTTAAGGCATATACTAAGCTAAATAAGTCCAGTAAGTCTAGGTTTCTTCCAGCGAGCTTCCGGCGAACTTCCAACGATCTCTCGGTAATATTCCAGCGGACTCCCAATAAGCTCCTGGACTTCACGACGATCTTCTTGGCAAGTTTTGATGAGCTTCTTTGGTAAGTTCCTAGACTTCTCGATAAATTCTGACAGAACTTCCGATGAATGTCCAGACTTTCGACGAACTCTCAAACTCCCAACGAAATCTCGTTCTTGACTTCGGGACTTCATTTTGCTTTATGCCTTGATTGCTATCATAGTTAATCCTTCATATTTAAAACCTACTTCGATCTAGATAATTATTATAGAGCAAATCAAATATTATCCAACATGTCATTGGTTTATCGGCGCTTCGTCCGAATCTTCAGCGCATCGTCCTCTCTTGCGGCCTATTGCCCAATCGGCTAGTTGACCTTTACAACTCCGATATCCTTGGCATAATTTCTACTCTTCTTGGCTTGATGCCCAAACTCATGACCTTTCTGTCGATACATCGATCGATCCTCCGGCTCGACGTCGAGCCAAAGGATCATAAACACTATCACAGAGAGATTTACCATCGCCGAGATCATATACAATGTTGAGGATCATAAACACTTCAGCAGGAAGAATCTCTCCATGATTGAAGTTTCCTACGTCACTCAAAACGTAAATCAAATCATAAACACTATCAATTGATTTCATCATCAAAATTCAAGATTTAACAAGATGGATCTCTGGTCATGTGCCTTGAGCATCCACTATCAATGTACCATCTCTTACTTCTAGCTTATGATGGTAAACATTTCTAAAAAAATGATGATTTTTAGGTAACAAATTGACCTTGGGTACCTCAAATATCAATCTACTCAATTTATTGTTTTGCATAGAGTTTTTTATGGTTTCTTTAGGAACTCAAATCAATTTATGTGGATTATATATCTTAAATGGATATTTATAAGTAATATATCCGAGTTTGTAACAAAAGTTGCATTTGGTGCTAGGTGATACATGCAAGGTAGGGCTTTTAACAAAGGTGGTTGGATTTTGGTGAGAGCTACTCACAAATCCGATTCTGCCTCTTCTATGAACGTGACCCTTATTGGCAAGGATTATGTTCAAGGACTTACTACCAATCTCAAAATTTTCTAAAGTTTTTTTGAGCAGCAAGTTTTCCTTCTCAAGTTCTTGTAAGTGTTCACACTCATGGAGGCAAAGAAGGATTATCATGCTTAAATTTTTCAAAATTAAGATTTAAAACGACATGCTCCTTTTTCAAAGAATTAAACTTTTTACTCGTTATTCTACATTCATCAAACAACTCATGAAAAGCACTTAAAAGCTCATTGAAAGATAAATTTGCATCTAATGAACTACTTACCTCATCTTTGATAGCCATTAGTAAGTAGTTGGCGATCTTCTTATTGCTTTGTTCTTCGCCTTCGGAATCGCTCGAGTCATCCCATGTCGCTTTGAGCACCTTCTTCTTTTTTGGTTGCTTCTTCTTTACTTGGGGACATTTGCTTTTGAAATATTCTGGCTTCTTGCATTCGTAGCATATAACTTGTTCTTTTTTTGGTTCAATTTTCTTTATAGTGTCATTTTTAGATTTATTTCTTTTCATGATTTTTTTGAACTTCCTTGTCAAGAGTGCCAAGTCATCATTATAGTACTCATCACTTGAATTTTCTTTCAAGTTGTTTTTATAAGTTCTTAGTACTATATCCTTCCTGTTCTTTGGAAGGTTGTTCTCAAGCTCTTCATGAGCTTTGTAAGTCATTTCGTAGGTCATCAAAGACCCAATAAGTTCTTCGAGTGGAAAGTTGTTCAAGTCCTTGTCTTCTTGAATTGCCGTTACTTTAGGATCCCAACTCTTTAGGAGGGATCTTAATATTTTGTTAACAAGTTCGAAATTAGAAAAACTTTTATTAAGTCCTTTTAGACCATTGACGACACCCATAAATCGGGTGTACATGTCTTCAATGGTCTCACTTGGTTTCATCCGAAATAATTCATAAGTATGGACAAAAGATTAATTTTGGACTCCTTTACTCTACTAGTACACTTGTGAGTGATTTCGAGTGTATGCCAAATATCGAAAGCCGTTTCACAAATAGATACTCGATTGAACTCATTTTTATCTAAAGCGCAAAACAAGACATTCATAGCCTTGACATTTAAAGCGAAAGTCTTCTTCTCTAACTCATTCCAATAGTTCATTGGAAGAGAAGACTTTTGAAAGCCATTTTCCACAATGTTCTATAACTCAAAATAAATAGAAATTATAAAAATTCTAATTCTAGTCTTCCAATAGATGTAATCCATCCCATTGAACATGAGTAGACGTATAATTGAGTGACCCTCTTGATTGCCAGCAAATGTCATCTCTCTTGGGTTCTAAACCAAAACGAGAGTGACATCACTTTGATACCAATTATTAGGATCAAGAACGACACTAAGAGGTGGGGGGGGGGGGGTTGGGTTTGAATTAGTGCAACGAAAAAATTACATCGGTTTGAAAATCTTCGTACGATAAAAACTAATTTCGACGAAAACCATTTGTTTTGACTCGAGTAAGTTTGCAAGTGAGTAGAGAAGAGGGGATTGGATAGTTTGCAATAAAATCAATCAGTAAAGAGAATAAGTAGTAAAGAAAGAACATACTAGAATTTATAGTGGTTCGGTCATTGTGACCTACATCCACTTATGATTTCTCCTTTGTCGAGGTCACCAACGTCCACTAATGGTCTTTCTTCAATAGGTAAAGTCCGACAACCTCTTTATAGTGCTTTCTCCTTTTCATAGGTTTAGGAGATAACCCTTACAAGCCTCAAACCTCTTCTTGGATGATTACAGAGCTAAAGAGCAGGAGGAGGATTTTTCTCACTTTTACAACACTTTTAATACCTTAACACTTCGAGTCTTTTTTACACTTTGATTGCACTTTATTACCCTTTCATGCAAAAAAAGGTGAGGTATTTATAGGCCCCAATGACTTCAAAATTAAAGCCAAAAAGTGTCTCATTCTAGATTTTCAGGGTATTGGTAGTACCATTGCCAATACTATGTGGTACCATCGCCTGACACTCTGACACTAGGTGGTACCACCGTCTAGTCTGGCGATATCATCGCTCGACAAAGTCTCGGATATTGAGCTCTAGCGATACCACCGCTTGACAATAATAACTATTGATGGTACCATCGCTCAGTCTGGGTGGTACCACCGCCCAAACCACCTGGGAGACCGTTCCTTAGGTGGTTCCACTACCCCAGTCTAGTAGTGCCACCGCCAAACAGGGTCCAACAACCTGGTTGGGCCTTGAATTCGACCCAAACCAGTCCAATTACGAGCCTAGTTTGCCCCTAATTGAGTTAATGGGATTATCTCCTAAACCTAATCCTAATTACATGCTAACTATGATTCTTAAGGCATACACTAAGCAAAACAAGTCCGATTAGTTTATGTTTCTTCCAGTGAGTTTCCGACGATCTTTTAGTGAACTTCCAACAATCTCTCGGCAATGTTCCAATAGACTCCCAACAAGCTCCTGGACTTCACGATGATCTTCTTGGTGAGTTCCGACGAGATTCTTTGGTAAGCTCTTGGACTTCTTGGTTAATTCTAGCAGAACTTTCAATGAACGTTCAAACTTTCGATGAACTCTCGAACTCGCAACGAAATCATGATCTTGACTCCGACACTTCATTTTACTTTATGCCTTAATTGCTATCATAGTTAATCCTACACACTTTTCTCAGCATATAGATTTGATCAAATAATTTACCAATTGATTTCATCATCAAAATTTGAGATTCAACACCTACCATATTGAGTACTAGATCTTTATTCAACTACCTAAGCCTTTTAGATTAGTGAATCTCTACCTAATAATCTCTCATTAGCTTTTATTGGATCTCATCGGTAGGATTTAATGATTCAGGAGTTTATTGGATATCCAATAAGATAAGAGCTCTAGCGGATATCTCATATATGAACCTCTACTCGTCGTAATACCTACCATATGTGTGTAACCCTCTAGGTCTAATATCTACAAACCTACGTAATTGGAGTGGTCACAAAAGTGTTAAAAAAGAGAAAGAAAGATGAAAGAAAACAAACAAATAAATAAATTTGTTTGGTATCAATTAGAACACATATTCTACTCGAAATTTTTGTATGATTACTGATATATATATATATATATATATATATATATATATATATATTCTGATTATCCATAATCAAGGTAAACATCTTATAGTTCGTCTCTTTCATTATGTGTATTTCTAAAATTAAAAATATAAGATTTGCAAATATTTGAAATATTTACCGACTTTCAAAATGTTTTATTGCATAAAAATATTACAAAACCTTTTGTAAATATTGTTTTGTAATGCTTCATGATTGCCTAAGTTTGAAATGATTCGCAAAGACAATTCAATTGTCTGATGATAATTTAACTGGGTGTGTAGACACTCTTTCTTGTTCAAATTGGTTTTGATCTAATTTTTTAGAATCAGCTTCTAGTTTTAAAAGCTTCCTTCGGACCACAAAATGGGGTTCGCTACTTGTTCAAATTGTTTTTTGGAAGTTGTGTAGCTTTTAATCATTTAATGACGATTTAGGATCTCAAGCCAGTTTAGACTGAATTATGATGACATATAAATGGTTTCTCAGTGTTTTCTTAAAACTACTGAAATTTAGGCTGATTTTTAGGATCTCTTCTTAGGAGAGTTTAAAGAGCGATTTACTCCTTCATTCTTTTAATTAAAGCAGAAAGTAGTCTCTAGTTCATAAATTTAATGACTGATTGATAGTAGGACCATCATGTGACAGTATAATGGGGGGGTCAATAATGGAATTGTTGATCACCCAATCAAATCCTAAGACATCAAGATTACCATAAGATTCTAGAGAAAGGGTTTGAAAATACACTAGAGAGTATTCTTCTAATCATCATGCAACAATTAGTTATGTTAGTTACAGTTCGATAGTCAAAGACAAAATCATTAGTATCAGAACCAGATCATTTCGTCAGAGAAGAAAAAATATGAGCCAGACCATTAACTTATCCAATCTACTTATTCAATCGATTTGTTAAGCCAATTGATTCGCAACTGATTCCATTGGACATGAAAACCGCTGTAATTCCATGCTACTTCTTAACTTGCTGCGTTCTTCGGGTTTCCAAGTCAGCAACAAGCTGGGAATACCTATTTTTAGCTTCCTCCAGTTCATGCTCCAACTCCTCAACCTGTACGAACAAACAATAGCTGATAATGGACCTTTGTGTTGCACCCCGTAATGAACAGGTCCGTAACAGAAATATCATGAAACAATTCACTTACAGTTTGCTTTAACTGAGCTGTCTTTAACTGGAGCTCTGCCCGCCTGTTTATTTCAACACCAACTTCAAATTTTCATTAAATGCCAAGGATAAAGTCTTTAAATGGCTTGTTAACACCACAAAATTTATGTAATTTCATCATTTGAATAAGCAAAATGTCCAATAAAGCAGTCAACTCATGGTGTCTTCTTTCAGACTGAATTCAACTACTAACCTACAAACTGGTAGAACCATATTTACAAGTAATGGTCGCAAAAAAATTATTTTATAGGCAGAAACTAAAGTCCAAAACTACCGCAGAAAGAAAAGAACAAAGGGTCAAAAAAGGCAAACAAGCATGATGGGATGAATATCAAGCATATGCAGACAACAGGAAATTCTAGCAAAAACTGCCTTGTATATTTCAAATCAACTTGCTGTCAGTTGGCATGCACAAATAGAAAATCTGACTATTATGAAAGAAGTTTTGCGGGAAGTACATAAATAAAGTTCAGAAACTGAGAATAAATCTAATGATGCATTTAGGAGGCATAAATTTTCAGCCTATGATATTAGAGCAACCCCAAAGAGCACGTTTGGTCCTGAAAATGTGAAAAATGCCTGGAATAGTTTTACTTGTTTTGTACGTTAAAAGCTGAAGAAGGCAGTAAAAGATGAAGTAAAAAGTCCAATTCAAACTACAATTTCTGGGACAGATTTACAGCATCCTGCCCTTGATAACCTCAATGAAAATACTCCACAGAAGGAAAAAGAAAGAAAAAACACATAATAATGTTTTACCTGTGTTAATTTTTAAGAGTTCAAGACCTCCCAGCAGAAGTCAGATTCCAACAAAGGCTCTATTTTGGAAATGTGACTTGCTATTAGTACAACTCTCATGGTGCCAAATAATGGAAGTCCAATTTTACCCAAATTCTATTTTTTCCCACATTTACACTATACCAAACACACAAGATTGGTAGCAACTTGCAAGTATTATTGATCATCTTCTATGTATCACTAAAGTATAGACAAAATAGTATTTTACTTTATATGATAACAAAACCATCTTGACAGTCGTATGGTCAATGCTAGTATAAGAATGTTGACTTATTAACGTTATCAGAATATTACATCCATGTCAAGTTCCGAGTTTCATAAGAAATTTCTGGAGAACAAAAGATTATATAAAAGACATATCATTATGCTTGTTGGAAGCATTATTTTGATGATGATCTAGAGAAAAAGAGAAAGAGAGAGAGAGAGAGAGAGAGAGAGAGAGAGAGGAAGGAAGGAAGAGGGAAGGAGTAGGAGAGGAAAGGAGAAGAAGAGGTGGTGGAGGCGAAGAATAGAAGTGTCTGAAATGATGAGCAGCAGGTGACAAGCAGACAAGGCAGGTGGTGGTGGTGGTGGTTGAGTAGAGGATTAGGATCTTTTAAAGCACAAAAGGGGCCAAACATCATTAAAGAAAAAGAAAACTGGACCTGCTCAAAATGGGGTAGTCCATCTCTCTATCCATGCATGGACCGATAAATAAGGATCAGAACGAATCAGTCCGGGTGGAATCGAAGTCCTTAATGATCACATGATTGGTGATGGCTTTTAACTGTTGATGACTTAGAGCATCATAATTGCATCATGTTTGGCCTATCTTGAATGTGAATGAACTGGAATCCAAGCCAACCAAGAACTACAGGAAGATCTGAATGATGATGATTTGAAGAGCTCAATAAACTTTATGCTATCAAGCACTTCAAAACTTGAGTTCAAATTGAGTATCATTGAAGGCTATCTATAGTATTAATTCTAAGATATACTAAACAATAATATTTGAATGCTTAATTGGCATAAGAAAAGGGGGTCACACAAACTCACCTAACACCTGGACACCTTAATTTAAAAGTTTAACAAATCAGAGAGTAAAATTGATTCACCAAAATGTAACATATGCTTGGTAATGTGTATATGGCAATCCTTGCCTAGTCGAGTACAAGTTAGCTAACTGGGGAAAGTGACCTTAATAATAATCTGTGATGACTCAATACCATTTACTTGTTGACTACCCAGTATGCTCTACTGGATTGTGGACTAACCAAGGTTTGAAATTTCATACTGTATCGATGTATCAAGCTTTACTCGGTACGATACGTTGTACCGAGCGGTATGCCTAAATATATATATATAATTAATATATAAAAATATTAAAAATATATATTTTATATAAAAATATAAAAATCAATATATAAAAATATAAAAATAATATACAAAATATTTAACAAAAGGCGTATACAGCCTTGGCAACGTCGTCTCCTCTTCTTCTCCTCGTCGCCTTATCTGCGGCATTTGGCGAACAAGGCGGCGAAGATGTTGAACGCCGCAGGCGTCTCCGGCTTTCGGCAAAGAACATGACGAAGAAGGCCGTAGAGTCGAAGACGAGGCAATCAAAGAGCGCCTCTTCCGCTACTCTAGTCACCACCTCCCCTGATCCTCGTGCCTCTATAGATCCTTCTCTTTACAACTCTTCTCGTAGTTACCTCTTGGATTGAGATCGTTAAGCGAGGGCGGCGCTAGATTGGGATAGAGAAAGGGCATGGAAACAAGTTCGCGTCGAGGTTCTCTCGATTCTCCCTCTTCTTCGAACGCCCTCTCCTTCCTTCTTCGAACACCCTCTCCTGGTAGCGGGCGATCCACGTATCGGTTCACGGGCAGACCGATATGTACCGCCCAGTGCGAGCGGTATGATTCGAAATCACAAACCTTGGAACTAACTAACTTCTGCACATCAGTCCATCGGTATAGTCCAGTGCTCTAGTGGTATACAGCCTTGGCAATGTCACCTCCTCTTCTTCTCCTTGTCGCCTTATCTGCGACATTTGGCGAAGAAGGCGGCAAAGATGTTGAAGGCTATAGACGTCTCCGGCTTTCAGCAAAGAACATGACGAAGAAGGTCGTAGAGTCGAAGACGAGGCACTCAAAGAGCGCCTCTTCCGCTACTCTAGTCACCACCTCCCCTAATCCTCATGCCTCTAGATCCTTCTCTTTACGACTCTTCTCGCAGTTACCTCTTGGATCGAGATCGTCGAGCGAGGGCGACGCTAGATCGGGATCGAGAAAGGGAATAGAAACAAGTTCGCGTCGAGGTTCTTCCGATTCTCCCTCTTCTTCGAACGCCCTCTCCTTCCTTCTTCGAACGCCCTCTCCTGGCAGCAAGCGATCCGCGTACCGGTTCATGGGCGGACTGGTATGTATCGCCCAGTACGAGCGGTATGATTCGAAATCATAAACCTTGGAACTAACTAACTTTTGCACATCAGTCCATCAGTATAGTCCAGTGCTCTAGTGGTAAAGACCCATTACCTCTAATTTTCTAAAAGAAAATTTTCATTGTAAGGACAATACTTTGGGGTTCTTAATCAAACATATAGAAAAGAAAAAACATTGTTACATCTTTCAAGTGATATAAATTATCCCTTTGTAATTTAACTAATCTTACTCCATTCACATCTTTTGCTCTCTAAACACTTAGAGTTTCATTACATCTGACAACTAAACACTAGAGTTTATACTGACAAATTGTAATATTGAGTTATGTCACAATCCAGCCCATCAGATAAACTGATTCACTGAATTGATGAGTCGAGAACAACGAGACAAAAAGATATTTAAGCCTAAGTTTGCGATAATAGACCATGTAGCACTATATACAATCGGATCCATACTATGAATTTTAACAAGGGACTGGTGTACTAGTCAGTATTTATTGATCAAGGAAAAACTCGAGACTTGCACTATCACATTTCGAGTGGTCGAAGGTCAAAACAAGGGTTACCATGTAGATCTAGCCAATATCTAAGCTAGACAACCAAATGGATCTAGGTTACATCTTTGTAGATTTATACTAAATCTTGGCAAATCTAGCCTAGATCAGTTTGTATCCGGACTAGATCTTTACAAATTTAGGGTGGATTGTTACAGATTTAGTATTATATTTGAAACAAACATGAATCTTATGATATGCAGGTCAAATCATATGTTAATAATTATATAGAAAGGAATACTCCTTGACAAGGATTGAAATATCGTACTATACCGAAGCTTTGAAATTCTCTCGGTACGATACGGTACTGTATACCGAGCAGTATACCGCTCGGTATATATATATATATATCGGCTACGTCGCTTTAGCGACGTCGCCTCCCTTCTCCCCCACGCTCGACGACATCGCCTATATATATATATATAATATTTTATTTATATATATATTTATTAAAAGTAAAAGAAAAATGTGTGACGTCGCCTCTCTTCTCCCCACAAGGGGCGATGTCGTAAGAAAAACGAG